TTATTAATTTTTTAATTCTTTATTTTTTTTATTTTTGTTTTATTTTTGTTTTTATTTTTTTATTTTTGTTATTTTTTTGTTATTTTTTGTTTTTTTATTTTTTTTCGTTTCTTATTCGTCTATTTTCTTTCTATTATTTTATTTTATTTTATTTTATTTTATTTTATTTTATTTTATTTTATTTTATTTTATTTTATTTTATTTTATTTTATTTTATTTTATTTTATTTTATTTTATTTTATTTTATTTTATTTTATCTTATTTTATTTTATTAAACACTTGATGTCATGCGTAAACACTTGATGTCATGCAAGAACGAATGTACAGTAGACAAACTATGTAATTATGTTTTCAGATGTTTCAAAAAGAGAGAAGAAAGGGCAACTAACAGTAGATGATAGGTAGCATATATAGTATTGTAACAGTTGTAATATATAGAATCCTAGCACTTTGCATTAGAATATAGCGTTTCAGTATGCAATACTCAGACATATTATTTATCCTTTCGACTACTTTTGGTCACATTTGAGCATTTAGCCCATCTGGGCAAGAACATGCAAATAAAAAATATTCAATAAATGTTTCAATAAAGATAATATTAAAGACTTCTATGTAAAACTATATGTCTATTTCTCACACATAATTGTCAAGTCTACTTGTGGTAGATACGTACGTGATATTTGGCCAGTATGCCCGCACGTGACCTTCACGCCATTGTGTAACATGCTTGGCAACGTTACTGGGTCAGTGTGACGTATCAGCGTTATGCATCACGCCACGTGACCTGGTCCAGAAAATTCTGCGAAGTGGTGTGAGTGTACCTGACTCTGAAGACCACCGGGCGATCCCGCTTACGGTACGTCTCCCGTTTTAATATCTACATATTCTCTTAATATCTTATATTCTTACATAGCAGGATTATTGAATGTATGTAGGAGAATTGTTCAAGCATTAGATGACAATAATGAACTACGAAAATATAATTAAAAACATATAGTTTTCTACACAAGAGAAGATACCTTGTAGATATAGACGCAGTGAAGTAATCTAGTAATTCTCTCTCCTAACCTAATACCTTAGTTATCTAACCTAGTGCATTTGGCCTATGTAGGACGTGAATATGTAATAAAGTCCTTGTAACTAGTAGGAAATCATATAATTATTATACAGAGTCACAGAACGATCCTGTAGCTATAACAATGTTTGACAAAGCGATGTTTAATATTTCTAGTTCAATGCGTTAGACGGTCGAACCAGTTTAGACCAGATGTTTAACCGGTTATTTCCAGTTTTGGATGCTTGACACGACACAGTATGTGGAGAAAAGAAACATAAGGGGGTGGCCTCTTGGTGAATTGTTTTGTATATGTATTTTAAGGTTCCAGACAGTCGCGTTTGTGGCGTATTTAGTGCGCGACAGGCGGTCACTAGCACAGTCGACCCAAATTCTAGATCAAGGATAACCGATTTGGTTTTTAGCAGCATTATATAGATCATTGTGACCTACATATGAGTCGGCTGTGTGGTGCTTTAGAACAACCAGTTTTCTTTCCACATTTGAAGTCAATTGTATCTGTAAATCTCAAAAACGCCAGGGACATAAAAAATGTTAAATTAATACAATCCATAGCATGAAAGTTCATCTGTGCTGGTACAAGTCATTATGAAATAAAGACTAAGCTTTAACACTGAATAGATTACAGAATTGGGACTTACCCAAATTTTTTGGTTGACTCCATCAACCTTGTTCACGGAATGGACCCGTCTACTCCAGTCCAATCCACTTAATACAATGCAGCTGAACAATATGCTAGATATAAAGATTCTGAATGGCAATGACAATGCAACAGACCAGCAAAAAGTGGCTACAATGGCCAGATGGTCCATACGCAGTTGTGATTGTTTGCATAGGTTTGGTTTATCGATATTTTACGTTGTAGCAAAAAATGCTTCATGGTTGTTTTGCCAGCTGTACTTTTAAAGGTATACATAATTCATTTCTAAGCCTTTCAGATACTTGTCGTGTTCCGCCTGTGGGATTGCGATTTATCGCTGTACCAGTCAAATGTCTGCATCAATGGTTGTCATCGTATCACGCGAGCCGATTTTTAACTGACATGCCAAGCTAGAACTTCAATTCTATTATTAATTTTTGTTGCATGGTTATATAAAAGAGTATAGATTTTATGCACGAGAAAGTAGCTATTTAGAATCATATTGAAATCAGTATTTAGTATTTTAAAACATTTCAAAACTAAATGTTGATGCTTGCAATTCCTAGGATTACATCCCAATAATTTTCGTTCCCAACATCTCTCTATCTTAAAGATTTCAAATTTAAGACGAAAAATAAACAATGCTTTGAAGTTTTACGTGTTATACGTGGATGACCACCACGGTTCATAATTATATAAATATAATATAATATCATAACTATGTGACTATAATTATATAAACCACGAGGATAACAGTTTATGTTGTACTCATACTGGACAATGTTGTTGTGGTGTACGTGCCATCAGAACATTCATTATTAATTCCATAGACTAGACACAACTTTCCATACCCTTTTATGTACACATAACCCTTTTATCTGGACATAACCTACTGTACTATCACAAATATTCGGACCTCAAATTTTCTTCATTAGATTTAGGTCATGATTTCTACAGTATCTTTCAGTCAGAAGATCTTTCATTTAGGTTGAGATGACTTAACCGTTCACAGTCCTGTCATGTGTAATAAATGTTATCGAGTTTGTGCTGAGGTCACATTTCCAAACCGGGGCCCGGCCGGACAGCTTTTGGGAACGAAAAGTACGATATAAGAGACAACAAAACACAGAAACGTTTTTGATAATAATCACGGGCACTATTTCTATATACTCTTCATATGGATTGTTAATCTTTCGTTCATACAAACAGCCCGGCCGGGCCCCGGTTTGGAAATGTGACCTAAGCATTATGTGTACGTTAGCCTGGGTACCATCCTACTTGTATGCCGGGGCTCCCACACTCGCTTCCCTAAGAAGTACTTCTTAGGGAAGCGAGTGTGGGAGCCCCGGCATACAAGTAGGATGGTACCCAGGCTATGTGTACGTGTCTACGTGCGTGTCTACGTGTGGCCTACATTTATGCCATGTCAATGACCGGAAGGTCGTTTGCTGTACTATATAATACAGATAAATGGTTTTATTGACGTGATGTCTGGCTAGGATCACGCAGACAGAAATAGGTGGTTCAATTGCGATTCTAATAATCAGTTGTTGCTTCATTTTGTAATTTTTACCATCCAGATCCAATAGTTTGTATATTATTCGCTCTCAGTGCATTTTGTTTGGTATAAACTGGAAAAATGTCAAATTTGAGGTTTATTCGAGATCTTTTCCAAAATATTTCCTTATGCAACTTAAAAACGTAATAATTTTTTTTATCTATATGTAAAGATTCATATATTGTTAAACAAAATATTCAAATCACTGTCAAAGTCAAAATAGGGCGATCCGATATCGGATTCTACGTGAATTTAATTTACAACATCGATTTTACAATAACGGCCACACCGGGACTCCACAAAAGCTGTCTGGTAGCAAGAACAATTACGCAACGGACTATTCCATTTTTAAATCTGCGCTAGTGACATTTCAAATTTTACATTATACATAAATATATACATATCATATTGACAGGAAGGATTATAAAAGCTTGCTGCCACCCCTCAATAAATGAGGGATTTTAGTAAACTTTTAGCCTAACGTCACTGAAAGTACTTTTAATAGCTTTGTGACAAATGTATGTTTATATTGTATGTTGATTATAATGTATGTCGATTATTCATGAAGATGGCAGAGACATCAAGAGCGTCACTCCCATCAGCGAACGGAGGGCGAACTACAGCCAACTGGCACGACCATATGGTTACTGCGCTGAAGGTAAGACTTTGTCGTTTTTTAGTGGTCTATCTCTACCCTTAATCCAATTTAATCGAGTTTGATCCGTCTGCAATTAGCAATCGAGCACGAACTAAAAGAAATTGGATATGCTATGTTATAATAACGTTAATGACTCGCCTGTTTTTCGCTGTCTTAAATCGTCTCTTTCGCTAGCGCTCACTCGGCGGTTCAATCGGTCGTTATAGAAAATAACCAATACGGTTTCATAGGGCCTGATCATGTCCTATAGCCACCTTTTAAATATCCTCTTTCGGTGGTTATAGGAAATAGCCAGGCTTTATGTCTGTTCTCTCCAGCCGGACATGCCCGAGGCCCCGGCCGTGCGGCTGGTGTGGTGTGGTGACATCAGCGGGGAGGTGGGCGTCATGGGCTCCTGGGACGGGTGGAGCAAAGTCTGGAAACTCAACAGGAGGTAGGAGGGGTACTGGTAGTATCTCTACAGCTTACAAAGATATATTTCTACTAGTTGTGCCACGGACAGACCCTAGGTTAATCAATTGTACCGTGTTATGAGTTGAATAAAGAATCCCTACCTACCTACAATTCTTTTGTTGAGGACTCACGTCGGACCTATAGGAAACACAACATTTGTAGGCTTTAGAGTAGTTGAACGATCTTAAGAGCCTAGAGGTCCAGGGTTCGAATCCATGGCCTTCTGCTGGCATTTAACATGGCTCTATACGCCACAGCCGACTTAAGGGGATTTGACTAATAAGCTAAGTAGAAGATGAGAGCCATGCGTAAAGTACTTTGAAACAACACAAAAGTCACTTATCCGTAAATTAACTGACGGATGACAATGGCGTCTTGGCGGCTCGAGGTCTTGGACGTCGACCCCAAGAAACGTTTCTATTACATGCACTGTATCCTGTTTTCCAGTGGGAATGGTGAGTACAGCGTGGCGCTGAAGATCCCATGCGGGCAACACGAGTACAAATTCCGGGTCAACAACACCTGGTTCCACGATGAAACCAAGGTAAGGGCCTCAAGCACTTCAGAGTCCCCTAGTCACCCACGAAAAGTAGTGGATACTACTTGAAACGTCTAACATTTTTTCAAGTCTTACCCAGTTGCGTGATGAGTAACTTTTTCTTGTGAAAGGTAAGGAACCTTTTATTGCAAACAAAGACTAGAGCCAGGAGACGATATCGACTTCCAATAACCTTTGACCTCTTATGACGTCACAAGCGTATAATGCCATGCGTTAAGGCATTCTCACTCACTTTTGTTGATCCTCTTTCTTACACAGCCGACGGTGTTCAACTCGTTTGGGACCCTGAACAATCTGGTCAACGTCGTGAAGGCTTCCAATGGTAATGGTCCGACCAAATCCGGCACCAATGGGACTCCAGAGAAGGCAGTCCCAAACGGAAAGAACGGACCGGCTATTCAAGCATCCGAGGCGATTCTTCTGAACAAGACGGCCAAAGAAATCTACGAACACAAGACGACTACCGCTTCCACCAACGTCGCAACGCCCAAAATCCAGGAGGTCCTCAAGCCTGAACCAGCCAGTGAATTGAATCAGAATGCTAAGCCTACGAGCAATGGTCACAGCGATCAGGCTAACGGGAAAGCAGATTTCTCGGGTGTAGAGCCCCAGTCCAAGCCGGTTGATGTCCCTGAGCGAATGCAAGAAAAGTTACGACCTCAAAAGACCACTTCCTATCGGGTTCCTCCTGCAGTCCCACCTAAACCTGCAAAAGAGACCATAGCCACTGCTCTCAATCCAGAGCCGCGACCCTTGATCAAAAATGTTTCTGGTGTGGAGTCCGTGCAACAGACGTGCCCAATGTCGAAGAGCACTGTAAACCGAGTTCCCCCGACAGTTCCACCCAAAGCTGCTAAAGAGGCGACAGCCACTGCTCCAGGTGCAGGCAATCAAGAACCTCGACCCATGACCAAAGTGGCAGACAAAGATGTCTCTGGCGTGGAACGCTTGCAACAGTCGAAGACGGCCACCTCTCGAGTTCCTCCTCACACAGCCCCACACAAAGCGACAACCACAGCTCCTCCTAGCATGAGAGCTCGCCCAGAAGTCCCACAGAAACGTGTAAGAGACAAGACAGGAAAGCCCGTAGCTGGAACCGCTGGAGGGGCGGTTAGGAAGCCTGAAACAGCACCGCCGAAGACGAGGGCAACCATTGACAAACCTCCTATGACAAAGCCCAAGCCCGTCCAGAAACGCGTGGCCACGGCACAGGCTACAGCCAAGACGGCGGCTAAAACTGTGGACGACAAGGTCTCATCCCAAAATGGCCAGGCAGAAACTCGGTACTGTGTCTCCTTTAGCATTCCTCCTGTAGGCATTACACTGCTCTATTTTCCTTACAAATAGTTAGTGGTATAGATTTTACGTTCACTCATCACAACTATACATGTATCAACAATTGGATATGAGAGTTCTTGTACCACAATCGGAATTTTTTATACTTTCGTCAGGGCAATATTGACTGGACTTTCGTTCACGCCGTTAGGCGGCGCTGCAATAAAAGTGATGCAGTCCCAAACACCATTGCCCATTTAGATATGAATTGAATTATTATTGTTATTATCTCATCATTATGATTATTATTATTAGGTAAGGGATGGTTCACTACATTGTATATTGTATGTTTATTGACGAATAAAAAAAAAGAAGGAATTCTTGAACACCTCAAAAAAAAAAAACATTGCCCTGGCAAGATGTACATCGTAACTTCTGATTTTCAATTTCTTTCCTTGCAGCCAAAAGACTTTTGCAGGAAGAAAGTTTTAGAGGCTGAATCATGCAACTTATTAAAGTTACAAAGGTAGGAACTTGCGATATTATTGCGAAACATTCAACATTTATTACGCATCTTTTTCATTATATGATCATGAAGTGTCAAATATGCCTTTTGATTATTTTTTTCTCTTGTTCTTCTTCCTCTATTTTTCTTCAGATCAGAGAAAAGTGGAGACTTGGTACATCCGAAGCATCGACGATGACCTCGAGGAATATGGGATATGAATACTCCTGGTTCATACTGTTGTTTATGGAGTCAGTGTCGATTACAGGCTCATCACAGAAACGTTTCTTTAACGAAAGAAACATACGCTAAAAACACATGAGAACTGTGATGAAAGTATGTATACATATAAATTCGATGCTCACTTGTGCAGAATTTTGCCCGCTTTTACCCTTGCGAACTGCTAGTTGCAATACATCTATTGAAAAAAAGTATTTGAAAACAATCCCGTACTTAGAGTTTGGGTAACCAAAGAAGGAACAGTCGTTGACTGCGATTCATAGAGATAGTATATTATTCTAACTCGTCAACATTTGTAGGATACTCAGATAGCTATAGGTACTATTATAAGATAAAACTACGATTGAACGCAATGCAAAATATATGGTGCTATGTCGACAAAGAGCACTGGTGATGACACGCTGCCACGTGTAAATGGTATGCTGCTACTGCATATGGCATGATCATGATATTGAATTTGAATATGCAATTGCAACTTTTGAATCTGTTGCCATGTACGGTACCCATGCCATAGTGCTAATGCTTGCACGTGGTGATGGACATAGTTTGTAGTTTTATGTTATAAGCAATACTGGCAACAATCAAAAGATATGGTACATACTACACAGATGTGGGAGTAATAAAAACGTGTGCTAATTCAACTCAAATGAGTAAAGCTTGCTTGTCTCTCCGTATAGTCTGTATGTCTGTCTGCCAGCCTGCATCACATCAGCCACCTTAGCTCAGAGGTAGAGCACTGGTCTCGTAAACCAGGGGTCGTGAGTTCGAACCTCACAGGTGGCTGACTACATTTTACCAATTTTACGGAATTTTTTCAGTCTTCCTTATGAAAAACGTGAATTTTTTGTCAGTTTGTTTCCGGTTAGTCATTTATTTTGGAGGTTAGAACAGTAGTTTAATTTTCATAATTTACCAACTCAGATGCTAATGTTAAACTCTTGAAATGAAGGTATGTTTTTTACTCTTTCTGCCTGTCTGTCTCTCTCCCTCTCTCTTTCTCTCTCTCTAAAAAGACATCAGCATGCAAAACGTGATGAAGTCTACCATTTCTGACGACCTTATTTTTGAATGACTTCTACACATGTTTTGACCACCATACGTATGTCTAGTCCTTGTCAAGGCCTCTCAACATGTAACCTATGCCCGATGACGCAGAACATAACCAAGTGTTAAGTATAACCACATCAGGAATCCACCGATACTTCCTTAGGCTTCGACAACATGAGGTGCCAAGTAACCCTCGGTCGTGCCTGTAGACACTCTGACGTCCGCATGGAGTAAATATTTGTCATTATGTATGTTGGCCCCCGTCCCAGACTAGCCTGTTCACTCCAGGCAACGCCAGTAGATCCTCACTTCTCAGTGCTGAGGACTTTACTAGATATACAGGTGAGTGTTTCTCTAACGTTTTGGCATATCGATATGTTTATGATCATGTATATGTAGCTAGTAAGGATTACTATTGTAAGAGATTCTAAGGAATATAATTCTATTCGTAATATCCCCTATTATTTGAATAATTATGATATAGATATGTTAGGTTTTATTCGACATTCGTCTTATTCCACACAATTATTTTATTGTTGTTACTCTCTTTATGTAGTTTGCCATACATTGTACCATGTGCAATTGTCGTGCAATAAAGTTCTATTTACCAAAAGTCAAATAGAGTGTATAGAAAAATAATCAAACTATGACAAGATATCTTTTAGACAGTTTGGTGATGTAGGTGAGATATAAACTTACTATTTCATGGGAAAACTTCGTTTCTTTGCTGTAACGTTAGTTTATTTATGTTATTTCATCTACACCACGGGCCTCACTGTTTATAGCTCACTAGTTAAGAGTTCAGACTTGCTTGTTATTGCGGAGATGTGGATGAGCTCGTACGACCTCAGAAGGTCGGCGGCAGTGGACGGGTCGTGTTACTGTGTAAATAACAGAACCGGATTCTGCTGGTCAGAACTGGTTCTACTAGCGTTCTAAACATGTAGCCGACTGGGCAATAGACCAATGTTATTTTCTTTAGTATATGATTTATGTTTAATTTCTGTTATGTAACTTATGTACCAATTTGTTTTATTTTTGGGCCCCATTGAAAATCAACAAAAAATTGAATTGAATGGATAGATAAACAAATAAATTGTAAAATGAGTTAAGTAATAACATCACTAAAATGATCTACGGTTTGGATTGCAATTCCATACAGATGTCTGTTTTGCAAAACATTATGCATCTCAATGCTTGATAAGTTAAAGTGTACACAGAGGGATATCAAGATTTTTTTTAACTGGCTTAAGATGGCATCATTTCGAGGACATCTATTTTCTTAGAGAGGTATCAATGATCAAATGAACTTGACACAAGCAAGTTTATGGCTGTTTGTGACTAAGTCAATGTCACGACTGAGATTCCATAGAAAAGTAATCTAAAACAAATCTATTTGACAGTCTTTTCGTTCGCTGCATTTTCGGTACCTTATATGTAAAAATTTCTACATTAGTTTTCAGGGATTTTCTTGACATTGTATCGATGTCATCTGTAGGAAAGTATTCTAATTATCTAGAAATGTGTAATATGAGCAATTGGCTGTAGGTACTGCCGCATACAATACATATTTTAGTTATGTCACTGTCATGATTGTATTGGCCAGCAACTATTGTCAGTTGTAGGGTTGCATCATATAATATAAGTGTATGGTTTATCATATAATTTTTGAGACATTGTCCAAAACTAAGTAATGCTATGTATTTCAAAACAACAGTCAAAATCACCTAAGCGCAAATGAAAATAAAATAACGTTTACTTGCTTATTTTTGTCTTTAGTGCTCAAAGGTCACGATTCAAAATGGCGGACAGGCCAGAGCAATTCAGCCCTCTAGCGGCCGCAGGGTCAAGTGCAGCTGTCAAGGTGAGAGCTTAAAATAGAAGAGTTATTCTATGTATGTAAATAAACGACTGTTGCCTCGTGCTTACACTTTCCCCTATATTGCATCATTTGTACACAATCTGTCATAGTCAAATCTACTGTCTGAAAACAAATTCAGTTATCGTTGTGACCTTATTGTTAGGAAGAAGCTGTTGCAAAACTAAACGCAAATAATAAAAATAGCTGATTAGAAATGAAAGGTACTGCACCTGAACAGAGACTTCAGTGTTTATCATTCTCTGTCTGCTCGTGTGTATATACGTATCATTTTTGCTGTGCAGTTTCTGTATGCTTCGCCAGAGGGTGATATTACTGCGTTGAGGGGGGGGGGCTACTATGATCTCAAATTGCTTTGTTGTCAAGATTGTACATGTATCAAACTTGTCTCATCCATAGACTGGAGTAACGGACAGCGTTCCTGTGCAGTTTGTGCTGAATTCGAAAGGGAAGACCAGCGGTGATGTGGTTGTTCTGGGGTCGTGGGACGATTGGAGCCGAGCCACAAAACTGGACAAGAAGTAAGAGAAGTTGGCTATTTTATTTATTTATTTATTTATTTATTTATTTATTTATTTATTTATTTATTTATTTATTTATTTATTTATTTATTTATTTATTTATTTATTTATTTATTTATTTATTTATTTATTTATTTATTTATTTATTTATTTATTTATTTATTCTTTTACCAGGGTGGCACTACTCAGTGTCATAGCACTGCTTTACAGAGTGGCCCTGGGTACGACACATATATACACGGAAATACAACAATATATACACCAAAAACAATATCATAAACGTGATCCATTACTCCTAATCGGGGTCATGCCAGGTCGTATTAAGGGAGGGAAGTCTGAGGTCACGTAACTGAGCATACAGTGTTCTGAACATCTGTATCGACGGTGCAGTTCTAACACCGGGTGGGAGTTTATTCCAGCCCACTGCACCTCGATAAGCAGTATGTATGACCAACGGTATTTCAACTATAATAATATATGATACCTCTTTAGTTTAAGCAATCTTTCTCTCTACTTCAGTGTATTCAAATTTACTTACCCTCATCTTTCAGAGAGGACACACTGGAAACGAGTCTTGACCTGCCTTGTGGACCCTACGAATATAAATACAAGATTGGCAAGACGTGGTTTTGTGACACAACAAAGGTACAGTGAACAACCAAAGGGTATTCTAGATTTTGCGGCTAGAAGGGATTCTGCTCTTTAGAACCACATTGCATTTCACTACATGCAGTCATTGTACTTCTTTTTTTTGCCATTGTACCACTTCAACATAGCCACTAAAAGGGAATAGGGCATGTACTAGTATATGGACGTTGTCAACATTGTGGGCTTTATAATAAAAGTTCTAAAGGGTAATTGTCTGGGTCCTACAGTGAAAAATACTTCCTTCTTTTTCCAGCCAGTCGTGCCAAACGTTTTTGGAACGCTCAACAACTACCTTCAGGTAGTCAAAGCAACGGAAGGTGCCTCCGCTACTACCGATCAAGGTACGAACGTGGTCACTCAGCTCGATGTTGAAACCCTGCAGCAGGCTCTTGCCAAAGTGTCGGAGGAGAAAGAATCGAGCGAGGACAGGGTTGAGGAAGTAGAGCAGGCTGACTCTGGAAAAGAAGATGTCGAAGTTTCGTCGGTAGACGTTGAAGGAAAGACAGCGGATGAGACGGACACTGGCTCTACACGGCAAGAATTCATCATACAAGACTCATTGATGAGTATCTGTATGACGCCAGAAATGCCTCCATTCACTTCAAAACAGACCTCCCATGGAGACAAGGGTCCTGAGAAAACCGATTCACGGCAACCACGTAGAGATGAGCCTGTGACCTGTATCTGTAGAACACCGGAAATACCTCCAATCAGACCGACTCTTCAGGAGACAGCATCAGAAGACCTCAGTGGGCTAGCAGACGTGGCCACTGTTGATTCAGAAGCAACATCGCAAGTTCAAACAGCTTCAGAAGTTGCTGAAGATGTCAATGAACAGCCAAAGGAAAAGGACTCATCTAAAAGTTCGGCAGAACAGGAATCAGCGACTGAAGATGTCCGAGAAGATAGAAAGGAGTTAGTTGTCGAATCAGAGGTTGAATCAGGGGAGCAACCTGTCGCAAGAAAACCAGAAGAAACGGAAGCAAAATCTGAGGAAAAAGAGAGGATTGCACATGGCACAGCTGAGAAGTCGGATGGTGGTTCTTCCACAGAAACACAGATACAAGCCACAGCCGTTTCGGTCTCAGAAACGGCAGATCAGACAGTTGGAGAAACTGTGTCCGAAGGGTCTGAAGAGACGGTCTCAACGGAAGTTCCACCACAGACCGAGTCAGAGGAACAGGCTGTTCCAGATGCATCAGAGAGAACAGAGAGCCCGACCGAAGTGCCCTCACTCAAGGACACCCTGGAAAAGGCTGTCGCGGACTTACACACCAAGACAGAAGACAAAACGCCATCAGTAACAACAAATTTGTCTGAAACAGTTGCCCCAGGTGTGGAAAAGGAATCTAAAGAAGCGCCTGTCCAAGATAACGCCAAGAGAGCAGAAAACAAGGCGGCCACAGAATCAGCAATAGAAGTCAAGTCGGCAACAGAAGTCTCAGAAGAAAAGGACCTGACATCAGATGAAAGAGTTCAAGAAGAGGTCACCCCAAAGGAGAAAGCACAAGATGAGGGTGATCTCAAACCAGCACCAACACCAAAAACTTTAGAGCAGCCTTCAGGAGATCAAACTACAGTAGCGGAAAGTTTATCAGAGGGCGAAAAAGTTTATAAGCCTATAGAACAGCCTGTCCCGGACGTTGTGAAAGAGGCAGACACAGGACATGTTTCTACCGAAACACCAGCACAAGAAGAGCAAGTTGAAGATGTTGCCAGGGACATGGACGAGAAGAAAGATCAGAATGCATCCAAAAAAGTAGCATCTGAGAATGAACCATCAGATGGGCCTAGTCTGGATAATGTTGATAAGGCGGCAATACCAGAAGAAACATTTGACTCGGTTGCCTTAGACACCGTGGTGCAGTCGGTAAATGAAGAAGTTCTTCAGGCTGCCCCAATTTTGAATGAGAAGTCTGGAGACGATATTACACCTGACGAAACAATTCAAATCTCAGTGCAACACACAGTTGCTGCACCAGAAGAGAAAGATGCAACAGAAGTTCAACCGCAAGAGAAAACAGACGAAGAAGCCCCGACAGATCTGGACAATGCCATCACAACAGAAGTTCCAACACAAGACGAAACGATTGAGGAGGTCACAACAAAAGAAGCACCTTCCTCCGAAACACCAAGACCTGGGGATACAACTGTTATAGACACGTCTGAGGGGTTACCTGACAAAACTGACATATCACCACCAGAGGAGGCTGTTGGAAAGGTTGCCCCAGACACGGCTGTAACACCGTGCGACACTGACCAGACTGAAGCACCACTGGCATTGCCAACTGAAATACAAGGCACTGATACGAAAGAGATTACCACAGATACAATCATGGTAGAATTAGAAACTACTGAGAAGAATGATCCAGGCGAAGTTGAGAAGGCAAAGGGTAAGACATTCACCGAAGAACCAACATCAGAAGAACCACCTGCGACAATTGCAATGGAAAGCGTTAAGAAGACGTATGCTCAGGTAGTCAAGGAAAGTTTGCCGCCAACTGATGTGGTAGAGAAAAATACAGAAGACACTGTAGAAGAAAAGACGGTTGTTGAAACAATTCTGACAGACAAAATAGTTGAGGTACAGGTGGAGGCTTTAAAGCAAGAAATTCCCACTGAAACACCACCAGAGGAAACAGTATCATGTGCACAGCAAGTGGAAATAACAAAAGAGGAAATACACACTGGAATATCATCAAAAGATAATACAGTCCAGGAGCTAGTGATACAAAAGGTGGAATCGGCAAAAGAGGAAATACACATTGAAACATCTCCAGAAGACAAGACAGTTGAAAAAACAGAGCCAGAAAAAGTGGCAAAAGAAGAGATACCTACTGGAAAACCACCAATAGACAAAACAATTGAGGAACTAAAAGTGGAATTTTCGAAAGAGGAGGAAATTCACACTGAAACACAACCTGCAGACCACACAATTGCAGAGGCGGTGTCCGAAGAACTGTTGGTGTCAAAAGTGGAAATTTACATCGAAGAGCCAGCAGCAAAGAAAACAGTTGTAGAGACAGTGCAGCAAAAAGTGTCAATTCACACGGAAACAACAGCAGAGGACAAACCAGCCGAACAGACTGTTCAAGAAAAAGTAGAGAAAATTGACACCGAAGCACAGCAGACAGACAAAACAGTTGAAGAGGCAGTCCAACCACAAAAAGCGGAAATACCAAAAGAGGACATTCTGATTGCAACTCCCCTAGAATCCAAAACAGTTGAGGAGAGGGTACCACAAAAAGAGACAGAGTCAGAAGAGGAAATTCAGATTAAAGCAACGCTAGACGAAGACAAAACAGTTGAAGAGGTAGTGCCAAAAGTTGAAATGCCAAAAGAGGAAATTCAGGTTGAAATAGCTCCAGACCACAAAACAGTCAAGGAAATTGTACCACAAAACGTGGAAGTGTCAAAAGAGGAAATCCACACTGACTCGACACCCAAAGTCAAAACGGCTGAGGATGCAGTACAACCACAAGATGCGGAAAGGCCAAAAGAAGAACTTCACATTGAAGCTCCACCAGAGGACAAAAAGGTTGAGGAGGTAGCTTCACAAAAAGTGGAAGTGTCAAAAGAGGAAACTCACATTGAAACACCACCAGAAGACAAAGCAGTTGTGGAAGAAGCGCCACAAAAAGTGGAAGTGTCCAAAGAGGAAACTCACATTGAAACACCACCAGAAGACAAAATAATGGAGGAGGCAGCGTCACAAAAAGTGGAAGTGGCAATAGAGGAAACTCACATCGAAACACCACCAGAAGACGAAGCCGTTGAGGAGGCAGCGTCACAAAAAGTGGAAGTGTCAAAAGAGGACTCTCACACCGAAACACCACCAGAAGACAAAAATGTTGAGGAAACAACGTCACAAAAAGTGGAAGTGTCAAAAGAGGAAACTGACAGTGAAACACCACCAGAAGACAAAACAGTTGAGGAGGCAACGCCACAAAATGTGGAAGTGTCAAAAGAGGAAATTAACATTGCAACACCACCAGAGGACAAAAAGGTTGAGGAGGCAGTGTCACAAAAAGTGGAAGTGTCAAAAGAGGAACCTCACATTGAAACACCATCAGAAGGCAAAACAGTTGAGGAGACAGTACCAGAAAAATTGGACTTGTCAAAAGAGGAAATTCACATCGAAACACCACCAGAAGACAACGTTGAGGAGACAGTGTCACAAAAAGTGGAAGGGTCAAAAGAGGAAATTCACATTGAAACACCACCAGAAGACAACGTTGAGGAGGCACCGTCACAAAGAGTGGAAGTATCAAAAGATGAAATTCACATTGAAACACCACCAGAAGACAAAACAGTTGAGGAAACAGCGTCACAGAAAGTGGAAGTGGCAAAAGAGGAAATTCAGATGGAAACACCACCAGAAGACAAAAATGTTGAGGAGGCAGCGTCACAAAAAGTGGAAGGGTCAAAAGAGGAAATTCACATTAAGACACCGCCAGAAGACAAAACCGTTGAGGAAACAACGTCACAAAAAGTGGAAGTATCAAAAGAGGAAATTCACGTTGAAACACCACCAGAGGACAAACAGGTTGAAGAGACAGCGTCACAGAAACTGGAAGGGGCAAAAGAGGAAACTCAGGTGGAAACACCACCAGAAGACAACTTTGAGGAGGCAGCGCCACAAAAAGTGGCAAAAGAAGACATTCACATTAAAACGCCACCACAAGACAAAACAGTTAAGGAGGCAGCGTCACAAAAAGTGGAAGTGTCAAAAGAGGACACTCACATTGAAACACCACCAGAAGACAAAGCAGTTGAGGAGGCAGCGTCACAAAAAGTGGAAGGGTCAAAAGAGGAAAATCACGTTGAAACATTACCGACAGACACTACCACAACGACTGAGGAGGCAGTACAACAAAAGGTTGAACTGTTAAAAGAGGAAATTCACATAGAAACAGAACAAGAAGAGAAACCTGTCGAGGAACCTGTGCCACAACAAGAAGTTCAACCAAAAGAAGAAATCCACACAGAAACACCGCCAAAAGACACGACAGTTGAAAAAACAGTACCACAAAAAGTGGAGGTGTCTGAAAAGGACATTCACACCGAAATACCACCAGAGGACAAAATTGTCAAGCAAATTGCAACAACCCACAAAGTGGAGCCATGCTACAAGACAATTCACGAAATATTGACAGAAGATACGACAGAGAGGATCCCGTTGTTTGAATATACCCAGTTCAGACTGGTGCATAAGGAGGAGACCAGGGGTGATGTGTTTGTACAAGGTTCCTGGGACGGATGGAAGGAGTCATTCAAACTGAACAAGGGGTAAGTATCGTGTCCAGAGCCTCTGTGACTAGAGTCAGGTTAGAACCAGGCATAGTTCTGGATAGTCTCTCCGTATCCAAGAACGTACCGGTGCATGTTTCTGGATATGCATGGGCCATCCAGAACCATTCCTGAGTATGGCTTTGGATAAAAGCACGAAATCCTGGATAGTCTAACAAATGGCTCCGTAGATCATGTTGCTTTTCTAATGTTGTTCCAGTTTTGTAAATCAATCAACTTTAATAGTCATCCAACGATCAACTTTGTGAATCAACATTTTCATTGAAAGACAGAACAAAATACGAGGACTTAAATAACTTTGGACTCATACTTTTCCCTCTTTGTGAGTTAATCTTTCTGTTTCTCGTCGCAGTGAAGACGCAGTGTACACTGTGTCCGTCATGTTACCATACGGGCTACACGAGTATAAGTACCGAGTGGGGAACAGTTGGATTCACGACGAAAAGAAGGTATATACATCGTGACATCGTTAGAGGTCTACAGAGTCTGACATGAAATTGTAGTAGGCAATGTGTTGTGTTGAATTGGCTAAATCACAGAGGACTAGGATATGCCTGGGTCAAAGGTTGTAATAAGTCTATACCGCCCCCCGTCCCGGTCCCAAAATGTCAATACGCCTTGATGTAGATGGTCTCCTTTAACCCTCCCATAGTGTAGTAATGTTAGGTATCTAGCAACACCCTACAATATAACTGTGCGTCTTTGAGATCGACTTCATATAAATATGCTATGAAATCTTTGCTGATGAAGGACTGGAACGACTTTGTTGTTGTAAAGAATCTGGTTTTAGCAAACGTTCAGTTTCTATTCACCAATTTCACACTTCCCATAATGCCTAGTAAAGATCACGGATATGACGTATGACCAACCCCCTCCCCTTCCCCGATGTAATATTTCCAACAAGTTCTATCGACAAGCTGGTCAACTATATTGTTCTGAGTTATTTATCTAGTATAAAGCGCATGCCATAAGTGCATTTTTTTGGAATTAGAGCTTCTATCGTTCTACCTTCTCCCGAAGACTCTCCTACTCCCACGGTCGCATTACGTATATCCCCTTCTTACGTCATATCCCATCCGTATCCGTGATCTTTACTAGGCATTATGGGAAGTGTGAAATTGGTGAATAGGGCCTCTGTTGCTATTACTCGTATCTCGTATCACTTATACTGGTGTTTTTCTCCACAGCCATCACTTTGTAACGCCTTTGGGACAATAAATAACGTACTGAAAGTGCCAGCAGAGGGTGGAGTGAAGGGTTCCATAGACATGACGGCTGAGGAGGGGGCAGAGTTGGAGGAGAGTAAGCGGGTGAGGTTGGGCTGGACGGGGGAGGCGAGGGGAGACGTGTTCGTGTCAGGCTCGTGGGACGGATGGACACGGTCCTGGAAACTTAAAAAGAGGTAAGATACCTATTATCTAATGTTACATATGATGCTAACGTCTGACGCATCCCATACACGTCCCCATCTGAAATAAAGATTGAAACCCCATACCCAAGCGGGGATGGAACCCAAATCTCTGGATTTTATTTTTATCAAAGACTTGTGCTATCCCTTATTATTTGAATAACTATGATATAAATTAGGTTTCATTTGGCATTAGGTCTTATTCAATACACTTATTTCATTGTTTTTTACTCTCTTTATATAGTTTGCCATACATTGTACCATGTGCAATTGTCGTGCAATAAAGTCCTTCATCTATATCCCAAATTATTGGGGGGGGGGCAAAAGTCATAAGAAATGCTCTGTTACATCTGTGACTTTTTTCTCTGTTCTGTTTTTCAGCAGTGAGAATGAGTACGGTGTATTCCTGAACTTGCCCTGTCGTCAGCACCAGTATAAACTCCGTACCGGGAACACCTGGTTCTACGACAAGACTAAGGTAAACACAGCTGTTCTAGTTCAACTAATTAAAAGCATTATAGTGTTTACTAAGCAGTGTATGCGTACTTTGTTGCGATAGTATTGATTGTATGGCCTTAGTGCTACCCATAATGCCCCACAACTCCCAGCATGCAGTGGGATCCTTAAAATGGACTATTACATTGTACTTACATTTCAAGTCAAAGGAATGACATTCAAGTTACATTATATCATTTTGCTTTCATCATTTAAGTTTTGCCAACTTATTTTTTTCTCTTTTCAGCCGATTGTTTCCAACAGTTTCGGGACGTTCAACAACTCTATTGACATCGCCGCGACGCCCGCGAAAATGGCGAAACCTTGGGGCAAGAGAACCCTGACGGACTACTAGGAATAAAAAACTACATTATCTTTACTGATAGACGCTGCAGATTGACACTGACGATATTCATGACTTTCACACTCCCCATAATGCCTAGTAAAGATCACGGATATGACGTAAGAAGCGGATATAAGTAATGCGACCGTGCGCGAGTAGGAGAGTCTTCGGTAGAAGGTAGAACGATAGAAGTTATGCCATTTTTCTCTAATTCCAACAAAAATGCAATTATGGCATGCGCTTTATACTACATAAATAATTCAAAACAATATAGTAGACCAGGTTTATCGATAGAACTTGTTGGAAATATTACATCGAGGAAGGGGGAGGGGGGTGGTCATACGTCATATCCGTGATCTTTACTAGGCATTATGGGAAGTGTGAAAGTCATGAATACTGAACTGCTGTTTTTCTGGGAAATGCCAGATGCACTTAGACATCAGGCTGCAAGCTCTAATTAGTTGTTGACAATTGATTCTTTAAATGTCAATGTTCGTAGCGATGCTCAGTCTTTTTGGCAATGTAAAAAAGGCAGCATGATAAGTTTCATCGTGATCTGGGGTATGACAAGTGTGTGTGACCTCCTTGAACTTTAACCTCCAGGTCACGTGATAACCGTGTCGTACCTGCCGTCGGAAAGATGGCGGATGTCAGTTGAAAGCTTTTCTACAGTCATGATCTTTAGCAGTTGTTTTATCCTCTAAATTCAAGTGTGTGGTTTATTTTGGATTGAGCCATTGTTGGGGAAATCATTAAATGATGATGATTATTATATTAATGACTGTCATCCTTTTCTATTGACCAATGCATTTCATCGAGTTCATGCATAATTCAGAAACGCCCCATCTTTTAACCATTTATGAAGCAGCCTTCCTTTTTATGACGCTAACAATGTGGGCATGGTCGTTCATATATAACCAGTATTAGTTATTTGTCAACTTCATGATTAATATTTGGTAAGTTTCTAGGGGGAGGACATTGTACAAGCCTTATACAGGCTTCTTTTCTCCTCCTGCATACTGCTTTTATTTCTTTGTTTTGCATTTGTAGATTGATGTTTTTATTTGTGCAAATCAATCAATCAAATCAAACCAGTTCAGATGAAACCACGAAGGGAATGGCCTATCCAGTGATACTATGTACATGTACTTATAACAGAATGCCCTGACCCAACAAGACAATACGTGCAATCGGCCAGCCAACTAAACCATTATGAACATGCATCACCATGTACTGTATACTTACTTGTACATGATGCAGTACTTGATAAAAAAATACCGTATATGCAATTAAAATAGTCCTATCGTTTCTGAAATGGTGTATTGCTCTCTTTGCTATTACTTCTCACATACTGCTTCTACCTGTAAGGCAGTTCACACGAAGGCATAGAGGACATGAAAATATTGAAGTGGCAAAGATTAAATCTAGCTATAATGGAGTAGAATAACCCATGACGACAAGAGGACAGTATATAGGGCAATGATCTGAGCAATGTCATCACATTTTTACCAAAGTCAACGAGACTGCCAACTGTATATGTCTGTGACTATTCCTATTACTTGTACTGCAAGTTGAGTAGAAATAAATTGTTAAAGCGAGGCATGTCAAATGTAGTGTTTATGATTATTCAATACATGATTATGCAGTTACATACTCTTGAAAATAAGAATGTCACGAACACAAATATTTTATTTCTTCATATATATCCATAACATACAGTATACAAGCTGGTAGGTCAATGACCTCATAGCGTCTGGAACTATCATCAGTGACGTAGTGATGTCCGTGTATATATGGTGCGCTCGGAATGTGTCTGTATATGTCGTACACTGTACCCAAAATGAAGATCAGTGTGCGATCAGTCTGACAAATTCTTTCTATCAATTTATCCTTCTTTCCTTCCTTCCATCCATCCATCCATCAGTCATACCATCCATCCATCCATTCATCCATCAATACTTGTAATCACCAATAAAGGCAGTTGTCAATAACAATGTCGTCTACTAGACAACACATTACCCTAGCCCAGCATGTTTGTAAGGCTACACCGACTTAATTTTATGGATGACATCCGCGCGCGCATTGATTTTCACCTGTTCTCAAAAAAAAGAAAAAAAAAAGATCACGTCCGCCGACGCTCTGGCCTGGCTCTAGGCCTGGGTAGGCCCTGGTGGTTTAGCGCCAATACGAAGCCGGGCACCCAGGCTACCGAAGCTCCACGACTCAAGAACTCCGTACATAAGTACAGTGCCGATTCATAAATTCCGCAAAAAGCCAGCATGTGTTGGCTAAGCCAGCATACGTGGCTAAGTACTGCCCCAAATTCACAATACCAGCTTTGTATTCCTGTGGTTTAGTAGAATTTTTCTTTTTATCCGGAATTTTTTTTATTCGCCCGCGCGCACTAGTTTGGGGGTCTTCAGAGGATGTCATCCATAAAATTAAGTCGGTGGGGCCTAACCTCGGTTACAATGTCATGCATGTCGATGGGTTGTTGCCTTGTACTTTTATTAGAATATTAACCTATTTTATCCCTGTACGGGTTGTATACGATTTCACGTCGGGCACAAATATATGGAAACCACATACGGGATATCCACATTCTTATGCATAAGTATATGACGGTCACCATATATAGGATAATTAGGCCACGGCAAGTACATTTTATGGATGACATCCACCACAGACTCCACATCACATGCGATAGGGCGAAAAGAAACAAGGCTGGCAAAAAAAACCAAGATTCCTACATTTTCAAATTTTGACATCATAAACCTTGTTAAACAAGAAATGATAACTATATTGTGATAAGTTTTCTATCATTGTAAAAATGGTTTTCAGTGGAAACATCAAATATACACAGCCAGCATCACATAAAAAAGAATGAAATACATCACTGCATCAAAGATAGTAGAAGACAAAACAATAAATAAAAACCTTGTCTTGTCTCCTGTCTTCATATTTATCTGCCATCCACGTTCCGGTATGGTAACAGAAATCTTTGCCCATTTTCGACATGTTGACCACTGTCAGAAGGCAACAAAATGTCTTTTTTTCTTCAAAATCAGGCGAAAATTAATGCGCACGCTGATGTCATCCATACAAATTCGGCATGTTGACCACTGTCAGAAGGCAACAAAATTTCTTTTTTTCATAATCAGGCAAAAATTAATGCGCGATGATGTCATCCATACAAATTATTTGCTGTGGCCTTACTGACGTTCCAGTGAGGTGTTTATAGCGTTAGCCTCCGGTGCCAAATGGGTTCCAGATAAGCCTGAGTGTGAACTCGTGGACTACGTGCCGTCTGGATGTGATAAATGTACTTTATCATGTGCCTGGGCCCAGTCTCAGCCTCTTCTATCCACGTGGTGAAAGCACACCACTGCTTCGTGCCGTGGCAATGATAAAGGTACGACTTTACCTACTGAATATCCTACATACGTATTATGACTGTATGTGGTGAATGCATACTTAGTATAGTGTATTTTGTATGAATTAATGTCATTACCAGCTGTTAGTTCTGTGCCGTGGCAATGAAAAAGGTACGACTTTACCTAGTGAAAATCCTATATACGTATTATGACTGTATGTGGTGAATGCATACTAGTGTATTTTGTAAGTTGAATCAATGTCATTACCAGCTGTTAGTTCTTTTAATGGAAAACTTTTATCTCCTTTCAGCCTGTCAAGTAAGAGACATTGCTATGCTTTGATAACGACGTGGCAAGAATACTAGATTTACGCTACACTGTGTATGCATAGGGATTAGCCGCAACGTCAAGTTATACTTATAGGTCTCTGCACTGAATAGTATATAACCGAGCAGATGTTGTGACGAAAGACTACAACGTTTTCTACGTTTTCAGGCGCCTCTAAAGACCCTCCTATTGGTTTAAGACGTTGAGAGTAAGAATCATGAAGAAAGAAGGGTCAAGGTCATAATTAAAGAAGCCCGGCCGCCGAAAAACATTACGCCCCCCCTCCCCACATGTACTGGTTAGTGTACCATGTATACGTGACCAAATGTCCTTAGAAGAAGGTCAAAAACGCTTTATAGACCATAAGCTGAGAGGTCACCTATCTAATAACCACATGACTAACAGATAATCATCTATTGAGAAACAAATCTAGACAGACCAATTGTAGACATAGACAAGTTCGGCGTTGTAAAATAGCACTGAATAATATGAAAGACTATAATTATAACTTCACATATATAGCAAATTGCTTATTTTATTGTTTTGTGGTGCAGTTCGTTACGAGAATTTATTGCTGACATATCTAGCGAGTTTTTCAGGTCTGTTGACTTAAGCCCTCGCAGTGTACGTGTGCTTACCAATGGGCAACACTTCACTCAACAAGAATTCGGAGATCTCAAACCTCCATGAAATATATGAGTTTTTGTAAATGTTTTTACACAGTACACTATACTACAGTACAGAACAAAATAACACAGGTTTTTGTTTTCAACAAAAAGCTAATACAGTAGCACCTTTGGTCTGAAATAGGTTAGGCTGTAATAGATATCAACTCAGTACATGTAGTCTATTCCAGAGGGAGAACCTCATTAATCAAACCGGTTAGGCACGCGCCAAAAACAATACCTCCATTTTTCATGGAGGTAATAAGGCCGGTTAACCTATTTGTCATTGTGCAACTGGTCATCAGATGACATATATCTGTTGATAAGAATATGTCAAGTAGATGTTACTTTTATTGATTTGCCTTGATAAGGTGGGTATGGTATGAATGTAAAAATATATTGTATTTCGTGCAGTGACGAAAAGTCACAAATCAAGATGGCAGAAACAACGCAAAAACCATGCCGTCTGCCGACCACATTGTCAAGTGCAGTAAAGGTAAGAATATATCTGCTCTGTTAACAAATTAATGAAACCATGTTTTTTTAGAATAATGTTCTCATTCTAAACACCATCATCACAAGGCGTGCAATAATTATGTTAACCGAAGGAAAACATTGTTTTTGCTACGTTTCCTCTTCTTCTCCACACCAAAAAGGTCATTGACCTGAACCAGACTGTCTGTTACCATGGTAACTAGTGTTGGGTTACACCTTGTTGCATTTTATAGCAGGAGGGATTTAGACTCCTTGTTTGAGTACGAATTAACAGAGCAGACCATATGCAAAGGTAAACATTATGCATTTGCTTTGCAAATGGTACCTTTCTAGTCTATTAAATGTTAGTCGTGAGGGTATGATATTCTGATCAAAATTGTTAAAAGATTGAAACCTTTTCGCCTTTGTCGCTACGTATACCTAATCTCGGGCTAATACTTGAAATACATGTATGTGTTTAATTGTGTGTAGTAATAATGTATGAAGCACTAGCGTTAGCTCTTTCTTAGTAGCATAAACGTAGACCGCTCTCGCTATGCATATGTAGTCTTGATATTTAAAAAGTGTATGTTGATTTTTATCATGTGTAGTAAGAATTTATGGAACACTAGCGCTAGGTATTTCTGAGTAAAATAGATGTACATAAACTTACAGATAGGTGACTTTAGTCATCAGTCAAATATGAAAACCCTTCTTCCACAGAAGACGGCGGTAACAGACAGCGTTGCCGTGAAGTTGGTGTTGGACGGGGAGATAGCTGATGACGTGGTGCTCCGTGGGTCATGGGACGACTGGAGCCGGGATTGGGATCTGAAAAGGAAGTAATTAATCATATTTGAGCACATTAAAGACATTTAGATATGTTATTGTGAACTGTCTGTCATAGAGGACAATATTTCAAATATCACAACAGCTATACAATGATTGTACTCATAAGTAAAAAAAACTAAGAAATTGTATTATGAAGTAAGTTTAAACTGTAATTTCCAACACAAGAAATTGGACTCACCCAAATTTTCGACTGTACAACTCCAGTCTTTGTCAAGGAATGAACAATCTACCGCTTCCGTGACGTCACGCAGATAACACACGTGACTCCGTTCAATAGCAGTGGATTATAGGTTGCAGAAAGTCTGTGGCGCCCCCCGTCTCTGTTGAGTCCAATTTCCTGTGTTGGAAATTACAGTTTAAACTTGCTTCATAATGATATCTACCAACGCAGATGAACTTTCAAGATAAGAAATTGTATTTAGGACCTGGAAGCAGCAAGATTTTTTGAACTGCATATGATCTTCCGTTTTTTCGTAAAACATAATTTAACCATTTGATATCATTGCATGATTAAATTTTTGTTTCTTTCCTGCCAGTAAGAAGAAGTTAGAAAACAGTGTGTGCCTTGACCTACCCTGTGGATACTACGAATATAAATACAGAGGAGGCAGAAGATGGTTCTGTGACAAGTCTAAGGTATTGCCATGGCTGATGTCTAGAAACAAGTCAAAAACATTGTGGTGTGTGAGAGGAAGCCAACCGTTCCTAGCAAAGCTACATTATTGGCTGATTTCATGCAATTACATGATTTAGTAAAAAGAAAATGTGTACAAATGTGTTTTGACAAAATGTATCCAACACAACAACATCCATGTTTGAACGTGCATATATGCTTCTTAGTCAGACATATCAGTTTCTAGGTACAAAATCTTTCTAATAGTATAGTAAAACACATCAACAGATGTTGCCTGCATATGTATTACAGCTATCACTGCTACTATATTTCCTCTCCAGCGAAATTCATTTCTTTCCGTTATTTCAGCCGATGGTGCCAAACGTGTTCGGAACGCTGAATAATTACATGGAAGTAAAGAAAGTGCCTGAGACTTCCAGCGCTATAGTACAAGGGTTGAGATCTAAGACTTCTCATATCAATGTAAAAATGCAGAAGAACGTTGATCTAGAGGTCCTTCGGTCAAAAAGTGAAGCACCACATGACGAAACACCTGTTATAGATACGGATAAGAAATCAAAAGATGCTGACGCCACTGAGCCACTAACACAGGCCAAAGAATTTGAAATGGTCATTGACACGGATGAAAATTTAGAAGGCAAGGTCATGACAAAATCAGTAACAGAAGACAAGGTTCAAATGGAAACTATCGTAAGTGGCATAGAGTTCTTCCAAGCTAACCCTGTTCTACCAACCTTGGTTCTACCAACTGTGGAGAAGACGTCTTACGACAAGGATGACTTTGGAACAACAACAGAACATGAAGCTAATAATGATTCCCAAGACGTGGAGAAGACTTCAGGAGCTGAACCTACCACAGAAGAAACATTGGCAACAGGAGAAGCAAACGTAAGACCTGGTCCAGATCTTGTGGCAAACATAGAAGAAAAACTGTCCACTCAGATGACTACAACAAAGAAGAGACCTGAGAGGCCGGTTCCTGACTTGGTTAAGAATACAGATGAAGATAGAGTTCCATCCGAGACAGCAACGTCCAACACAGATGAGAGTGACAGCATCATTGATGTGTCTGAAGAGAATGAAGAGTCAGCAAAGACAATTGGAGACATCGTCCAACCGTTTGAAGATAACACACCGAGCGAAAGAGCAGAACTAGGTGAAGCAGTTCAACAGGCTTCAACAGACATTGATGACAGAGAAGAAAGCGAGAAAGCCTCAGTAACATCATCAGATCTCGTCCCAACAAAAGGGAATGAAGAGCCAGAAAAGACAATTGGAGACATCGTCCAACCGTTTGAAGATAACGCACAGAGCGAAAGAGCAGAACTAGGTGAATCAGTCCAAGGGGCTTCAACAGACATTGATGACAGTGAAGAAGGCGAGGTAGTCTCAGTAACATCTTCAGATCTCGTCGCAACAGAAGGAAATGAAGAACCAGCAAAGACAATTGGAGACATCATCCAACCGTTTGACGATAACGCACAGAGCAAAAGAGCAGAATCAGGTGAAGCAGTCCAAGAGGCGTCCACAGACATTGATGACAGGAAAGAAGACGAGGTAGTCTTAGCAACATCAACAGATCTCGTCCCAACAGAAGGGAATGAAGAGCCAGCAAAGACAATTGGAGACATCGTCCAACCGTTTGACGATAACACACCGAGCGAAAGAGCAGAAGAAGGTGAAAAAGTCCAAGAGGCTTCAGCAGACATTGATGACAGGGAAGAAGGCGAGGTAGTCTCAGTAACATCATCAGATCTCGTCCCAACAGAAGGGAATGAAGAGCCAGCAAAGACAATTGGAGACATCGTCCAACCGTTTGAAGATAACACACCGAGCGAAAGAGCAGAAGAAGGTGAAGCAGTCCAAGAGACGTTCACAGACATTGGCGAGGGTGAAGAAGAGGTAGTCTTAATAACATCATCAAACGACCCAACAGATGACACTGACTCAGACGGAGAGTGTTACGAACTTGTAGTGAAGATGATGGGCATTGCAGGGGGGATTCAAGATTTTATCAAAGAGGTACCTGGAGTTCAAGCACCTATCGTACATACTGCTGACCAGACAGAAGGCGTATCTACGACGGAAACACCAATACAAGATGAAACAACCGAAAAGGCATTAGACACAACAGAAAAGACACTCGTAACTCAAGCCCAAAACGAACCTAGTTCACAAATTACACTGGACAAAATTCAAGGGTCCGAAGAAATGGTTGTCATGGCAACATCCACAAAAGTCGAAATTTCTGAAAGGGATTTTCCAGAAAGTATAGTAAAGAAGCATGTGGATAAAATTCTTACCGGAGCAGCAACCTCAGTCGAAATTGACAGTACAGAAGAAAAGGTGGTTGTGAAAGGTTCTTGGGACGGATGGAGTGAGGCATATATGTTAGACAGGAGGTATGTTGTATTTTGATTGTTTGTTTAGATGCTGATTTTTGTAAATAAGTCATTGATCACCTGTGGCTCTTTTTTCGTTAGATTATACTATTTACGGTTAGTAGTCTATCTAGCAATTTCTGTGACTACATGTATTTTTTCAGAATCTAACATATCTTGTGTGTTCCCGTTTGGCAGTGCGGATGGAGTGTACAGTGTGACATTGATGCTGCCCTCTGGTCTACACGAGTATAAGTTCAGACTGGGAAACAAGTGGTTCCACAATGACATTAAGGTACGTTTGTTTTTATTTGTTTAAGAGACCAATATCTGTGAAGTTTCAAAGATACAAAATAATTTTGTGTAAATTTTGTACATTAATTGTGTATACAGAGTTTTTATGTAATCAGTACAATTTATTTTCCAGCCGGTGGTACCAAACGTGTTTGGTACTCTCAACAATTACCTAGAAGTCAGGAAACTGCCTGATGATGGCTTAACCAACCAAGATCAAGGGACTAACAAGGTAGCCCATACCATTGTGAAGATACAGAAAGAGATTGATCTAGAAACCATTGATGTGGCTCAGAACTTCGAGCCAAAAAGGCAGGATGGCAGCGACCAAGTCAGCGTACAAATGCATACAAAAGTTGGTCTGGAAACCCTTGGGGCGTCTGTGTACGAGTGTCATTCAAACATGGAGCAAGAAACTAAGTTTGAAATACCTGTCCATGGTACTGAACAGGAATCAACAGATTCCAGTTTTGTACCAATTCAAAATTCAGAAAACGTCAACACAGATAAAAATATTGAAGGTACGGCTTTGATAGAAACAGCAAAACAAAACATAGCTGCGATGGAAAGTGTCTTAGGTAGAATGGAGGTCTTACATACTGCAATGGTCCAATATAAGACTGTTCTAGAATCTTTCGAGGAATCACAGGACGACGACGATCTCAATACAACACCACAAGTTGAATCTGCAGGCCGGGACAATCAAGCTTTTCGGACGAATTTGGAAGACGAAGCCTTCACAGAAGAAGTGCCACTTTCTACAGATGACGTGCAAAAGCCAATCCCAAATACTGACGAACAGCCAAAACAGATGGCCTTTACCGACACAACAGAATCAGACAAGATGAAGCCTGAAGAAAAGCCTGTTTCGGACAGAGTGCATACACCAGAAGACACTGTGTTCTCAATGATAGAATTACCGGACGAGAAAGATGATACGAATATCGAAGACGTCGTAGAAGAGTCAGAGACTGACTTGGAGATTGATAACAATGGTTGGAGCGTTGTTTCAGAAAATGAAACAGCACCAGCTGGTGACACGGCTATGAAAGGAAATACAGACGAAGAGGAGGCGGGAAAGAACACGACTATCACTGAAATATCAGCACCAGATGACAATACTGCTGCAGCTGAAACAGCACAACCTGCTGAAGCTACAGTGTTAGAAAAGACAGAAATGGAGACCGCTCCTGAAACACTTGCATCGGACGAAACATTTCTAAGCGACAATCAGATACTAAAAGACACGACTGTCACAAAAACGACTACATCAGATGATCCTCCTGAGAAGAATCTCTCAGAGTTCGCAGAGAAGCCAGTAGATGGAACTGAAACCGAACCAGCACGGTCTAGCGATGCTGCGATGTTAGAATGTATAGACGTAAAACTGGTGTGGAAAGGTGCCACCAGTGGTGACGTTGTGCTCCAAGGATCCTGGGACGGATGGAGGCGGGCCTACAAACTCAACAAGAGGTAGGGCTTCTATGGAAATATTGTAACGATACTATCTACCCATCTATTTCTACTTTATTCAACTAGGGTGGGTCAACTGAGTGTCATAGCAGGAGCTTACACCGGGGTCCTGGAAAAAGTACATTACATATGCATTTAATGCTGCTTTACGTAGCTGATATTTTAAAATGGTGACTTATTTTCTCTTTAACGTTGTCACCATCCTTGCTACTTCTGTGTTGCAGTAAAGTGATTTTTCTCTATTTTGCAGTGATCAGGGAGAGTACAGTATGTCACTGAAGCTACCGTTCGGTCAGCACGAGTATAAGTTTCGAGTCGGGAAGAGCTGGATCGAAGACGAAACTAAGGTAAGCGATGTATTACCATACTGGTTAGATCACTTGTCATAGACGTTAGTTACTGTGATGAGTAGAATATAGCTAGAGATGACCATAGTCAAAAAAAGTACGACACGAAGTACGAATAAAGAGCAAGGGCAAGTCAGATTCACTTTTTCATATGATCCATATTTCTCCCTCCAGCCGACCGTTCCAAATGTGTTTGGGACACAAAATAACATTCTGAAAGTACCGGATATCCCAGAAATGGACAACAAGACTGAAGAGACAAAACCCACGGACGAAACCATACTGAAGCAAACGCCATGCGTAGAGGGAGCAGAAGAAACAACCTACACTGTCAGACCGCAGACAGAAGATACGATAGAAGACAAGCCCATAACCGAAGCGCTATTTGTGGAACGGAACATGAATGACAGCGATTTGACAAAAGCTCCAACGTCAGAGGAAACATCAGGGGAAGTTGGACCAGTCACTGTTATCAAGGAAGACGAAACAGCTTCTACAGGAAAGGAAACAACAGAACAGGATCAGGAGACGAAAGAACAGGTCATAGACTTTCTGGAAACCTTAGCTGACAAGATTTCTACCGAAATATGTCAATCAGTGGAAGGAGTTATGAAGACTATCCAAGAGGTTAATGAAAAGGCAGAAGACAGAGTTTACTCTTCTTCTCCATCCGAAGACAGTAAGACAGCAGAGGAAGTTGTCTTAGACACCAGTAAGAAGACAGAAGTCACCACCGAAACAACAACAGAAGGTGATACTGCTAAGAAGACTGCCACAGACATTGTTGGCGTGGTAAAAAGAAACCAACAAGCAGAGAAAATGGTAGAAGAGACCAGTACTGACTTTGCGGAAGACACTGCTGCCGAGGATGCCATCGATACATTATCTTCGGAAGAAATACTTAAGAATAATCTCCAAGCCATTGCTGAGAAGTCCGAAGACAGCCTCTACTGTCTTAATCAGCCAGAAGAACCGACTGGAGCAGTTGCTAAGGAGGTTGAGGCATTTGAGGAAGTTCTCCCAGATGAAAATCCAGAAGGAATACCCACCAACGCAGCGCCGTCTGATGAAATAGACGTGGTTGCTGACCTCTATGAAGGAGAGAAGCCAGAAAAGAAAACCTCCACAGAAGTTACAGCTGATGAGACCTCCACGAATACACCCAACAAGACACAAGATGCATCTTACATCGACTTATTAGTCCCAAACGAGACAGTCCAGATAACAAACAAGCTGCAGAAGACAAAGGATACTGATGCTACTGAAGCATCACCAGCAGAGAAGACACCAAACTCCTCGTCGGACGATAAAGGTACAACTGTAGAACAACTAGGCGAAATGATAGAGAATATAACACCAGATGACTTTACGTACAATGCAGAACCACCCTCTGAGTCTGAAGAGCCAGCTGTAGACGAGATGTTGGATACGACTGAGATTCGATCACCACTACCAGAAATACGAGAGGAAGAGTCAGAAGATGAAGCTGACATTGGAAAATCAAGTGGTCGAAGAAGAGTGAAGATAACATTGCATGACTGCAGTCACATCAAGCTGCTGTGGCAGGGAGAGGCCGGCGGTGATGTCTTTCTGCAGGGGTCATGGGATGGATGGACACAGTCTCACAAACTGACGAAGGGGTAAGATAATCCCATTATCGAACTTGGCCTTCCTTTTCATGACCAATACTCATCCGCTAAATATCATGCACGACCATTCACAGCTTCTCGAGTTATGATGCACACAAGCAAACACACATACACGGTCCTGCATGTTCGGATGTCACCACTAGTTTAGGTTGCATTAAATATTGCTGACCTGTATACCGTGCTGATACCATGGACAGCTCTACAATTATAATGATATACAAACATGCGCATATCACAACACAGGCACGACCGCACGCACACGCATGCATGCATACACACAACGTTAAGTTGCAACACTAAACATCTCTCAGGAATTAATGTCTCTGTTTTCTGCTGTTATTCATTTTGCAGAGACTACAGTGTGACCCTGAAGCTGCCCGTCGGTCTACACGAGTATAAGTTCCGAATAGGAAACAGCTGGTTTCACGATAAAGCGAAGGTAAAAAAATTATTCTAAATCCTGTCTTCATTCAATGAGTTTGGTTTTACGCCACTTGTTCCCGTTTTGAAATGGTAAAAAAACTACACAAAAGAGTCCATTTGCGAAAGACTTTCGAGGTTGTGCTACTATAGAACTGAAGCTTACATAAATATATTTTCTTTATCATCCAGACGACTGTTCTCAACTGTTGGAACACACCAAACAACGTCATCAACGTAACCTGATATTAAACTCCTGACAGCACGTCAGCAGTCTGAAGCGATATCTACATTGTACTACGAATATCGGACTGACGAAAAAATATACTGCCCTAGCACATATGTCAAATTGATAAAAACAACTAGGTGCCTTTAAAGTACAATGTATTCATATATAGAGTGTTATATGTAGCTTCGCCGAAGACGAACATATTGTTTTTGCTTTGTTGATTCTTCATTTTCTGTTCGAAACAAATAAAGTCAATGACCTGGATCAGACGTCTGTCGCCATGGTAACTGGTGCTGTAGCAAGCACCCTGTAATGTTGGGTTGCATTATGCAGACGTCTAGACTTGATTATTTAGCACATTTATTTAGTTAGTATTGGAAAAAGTGGGTAAAACACGTGTTAAGAGAAAAAGTGGTGCTAATGCGTAGTTTGTACTTTTCATTATGCAGCAGGGCTGAGTTGGAGAGGCTGGTCACCATATATGAATGAGTTTGAGTAAGGAGAAACAAAGCAATAATTTCTTTGGCTAGACCATCTGAAGTAAATATTATACATTTGCTTTGCAACAAAAGGAAATTGTCTTCTAGTTTGCAGATCGTTTTTGTCTGGGTGTTGTGCCCCTATACTAGGCCTGGTACGATAACGTTAACATATAGCTCATAGCAGATCCTAATGACTAAGAAAACATTGACGATAGTCTGGTAGGAATCTTATAACCTGTGCTTTTCATCGTATTAAAAGCAGTTTAGTATACATCCTAGTTTGATGTACTTCGATGGCGTAAGTCAATATACTGTACCCATTGAGAAAGAAAAATAAATAAAACATGATAGTAAAAGAACATAGTCAGCCTTATTTTTTCTTCTGTAGATTGTGTAGGTGTTTAAACAAATTGACTTGGCAGTAGATTCGAAGGCAGGTAATGAAACTAGAATATGCATTATGTAAAGAAACATAAGCTAGTGCACTGTGAACTACTAGTATGTAACACCTTGTGAACTATGCACCAAGTAGCATCTAGCGTCAGTGCACAGTAAACCAGTCAGAATTGCCCTGATAAAGATGACAGACGGTCATCGAAACGTCGACTCGTAAAAGTAAATGGTTAGAATCAAAGAACTTTATTATATTTATGATATAATAAATTATAAACCTTAATCAAACAATGTGTACACGACATATCGACAGACCTTAGAATTGTTTGGTTTATATCGTAGGCTGGTTCTTCTACTTGTTCTAGCTATTTATGGGTGGTACCCAAAAATAAAGGGACTTCTCTCATAGCTTGTCTGGGGCTATTTCAAATGCTTCAAGTATCAAATAATGACGAAAATGTGCTCCAAAATGGCAGTAAATATAAAAATCAGACAGATTTGCCATTCAGAAAATGTATTGTTTTATCGCCTTGAAATTGTAATGCATGCCTTTAACAAGATAAAAGAGAACACTTATACAACGCTTAGTTAGTAATACCCCTCCCTTGCATGACCTGGTCTTGCGTCATCAGCCTGTGGGTACGTTACATGAGGTAAGTTGACTTCCGGTTCAGTCTGCCTAGCTGGCCTGCTGAAGGCCTGGGGCTATCCTGCGCCGCGGACACTACAATCTACACAGGTACGTTCAACATTACTATCTCCCTCCAATAATTATTTCAAAATTAAGGAGACGTAACGTTTTGCATTGCAGGATTTTGTGACATCTTTCGCCATCTTTTAAAATGCCAAAACTATTGTGCAATGTTGGTCACGCTATTATTAATTGGGTATATCTAATATTAAGACAGTAAAATCTTCAATATTACTTAATTACTGAATTATTTCAAAATTACGAAGATATAACGCTATGCATTGCATGATTGTTTGATATCGCCATGTTTTAAAATGTTAAAAATATTGATCGTTCTTCTATGTTTATGCGAAAAATGTTGGTCAAGGTATATTATTATTAATCGGGGATTGTTTCTACCATTGGCATTTTTCTTGCATTCAATTTATTGCTAATTGATGAATAAAAGAATAAATTTGAAGTGTCCTTTTGTTCTGCTGTGGCATAGCTGTGTGTAGGCTGTGCTCCAGGGTTACTGGGTAGATTATGTTACAGCGTGCGGCAGTATTCATGACGGCAGTGGCATCTGCCATTTACAGCTGCCAAACCATAACCGTTGATCTGTCCAACAATTCGTGAAATGACATAAACAGATGTTTCAATAGTTCGTGCTTATAAACCTGTATTTCTTCTGTGGTCTCTAAGTGTTACTGACGAAATGTAGTGGATGCTATTCAGTTCATCAAATCAAATCCAGTTGCTTGAATAACTGTTTTTGGCGTATCTTAGTACCTGGATGTCTAACCTTCACTGACATATAAAGATGGTCTACAGACGTGTTTTGAGTAAACTGTCAAGTGGTAGTTGTTTCAATCACCATTGTGGCATGATGAAATTTATCGTATAGGAAGACTGGATTTTTCAAAAGCTTTTGATGAACAGAATTCGGTATTCATGATCAAGGTCATGTGCTGAGAGGATCTCATGGTCACGCCCTGGATTCCATCACAGCTGACTGTAAGACGAGCACGGGAGAGAAATATAATCGTCTTATCCTCAATGTGAAACATTTTGCCATTATATTTTCTGTTGGAAACTCGTCAATAAAGGTCCATGGAAGGTCGTTTGGTACACAGAATATGCAATCATTTACTGTTTTGATGTTTTGGGAGGGTCTGATACTGTTCTATATCCATATCACAAAAATGAAACATTACAATGCAGTTTAAAATATGATATGTAAGCTCATAATGTAATATATGGTATTTGAGGTCATTGCATCGTATGGTATATGGGGTCATTATTTTGCAGATCTAGATTAGACAGGGGTACCAGTGTCACTTGTAAATATCATGCTTCTTTGTAATACTTTACTCAGCTTTAGAAACTGGAGTGTTTTGGGGTAATTTCTTGACAAAGAAATGACCGTCTATGGACGAAACAAAATTCAAATCCGTCAAATTAGTTGAGAGGGTGGTGACACATTTCGTACAAGATGTAGACACAGTTTCAGTCCTAGAGCTACATACTGACCGTGGGAGAACTATTCCAACAGTGCCATTCATGAAGGTCAGTCCGGCCTAACTGTTTCCTTTTGTGAGCTGCCCTTTTGGCCCTGTCTGTCACTGCTGAGTGGTTCGTCCCACAAGGGCGCCAAGGACGGCCTCATGTGGAAAAATGTAGCCTGGTTACCAGTCTTTCCCAGGGCTACACACTGGCATCCCTTATCACTGTAAACTTTATTTCCCCGCCTGGATAAATGAGCTCGCTCGATGATTCTTTTCAAGCCTAGATTCAATGAAAGTTTATTGCAAATTCATGCCCGTGAGCCAATTGCAAGAACATGATAGCAACAATATATAATAATAAACAGTAAAAATAATAAGTAAATGCTAGATATACATTTGTAGTTATTGTTGGTTTTGATTTCTTTTCCGTGTGCAGTGGAGTATGAAATGGCCGACATTTTGTGATATATATGAATTGGGAGGTGTTAATAGAATAAAAATGCAGTTTTTTGTAGGCTGGAAAGGTAAATAAAGTCAGCCAAGGGAACATTTTGGTGACTATTTCAAATAACTTATCTCTTTCGGTTAACAGCCCATAGGACTAAATGCTAAATCACCTTCAAAAAAATTTTTAAATTTACAGCTGCCAAACCTAAGGCTTTGGGGACATGTTGGCATTATTGCCGACGACTTGTGGGCCCTGGTAACAGTCTGAATTCCAGGCTAGGGGAAATATTGAAACCTGATCTTGGAACAGACAGTACATGGTGCTACGTGTGAAATTTCGCGTCTGCATATTAACACAGATGGTCTTTTCATCGTAGTGCGTTGTCGCGTTTGTGTCTGGCATTTTAGGGCTTTGTGCTAGTATACTTTTTCTTTGCATTAGGCCAAATGTGACATTGTATTATACATGTGGCCACCACCGAAAACTCTTTAAACTAAAAATATATTTTTTTAAGTGTAGGGATTTTGACTTGGTATTCACATATCGATGTTTTCCACTTCGGAAATCAAACGTATACGTACAGATCCCTTCCTTTTGCAACTTCAATACATTCTTTTTTTGACTGTTTGGTATCTAGTCTCTGTCAATGAAGGTTGGATATGGAATAAGATAAAATACCAAAGTAACAAGCACTCATGACAAGCATCTGGATAGATTTTTAAGCAATCAAAAAGTAGTATCCAGTATCTCTCGTCAGTGAGGAAAGGAAGGTCACACTTTCATAAATCATACTTTTCTGCCTTTTTAGTGGCGGAAAATCCACGAGAAAAATCGACGACGGACACAGGAGAACCATCACGCCCTCTACCGACTAAAGGTGCGGGTGCAGTCTACAAGCTCACCCATACAGACACCACACATAAGGTAGGACTTTAAACAAGAGTAACTTTTATAACCCAGTATTTCAAGCATATTTCAAAACATAATAGACATATAGAGCTTTATTCCACGACGATTGTACATGATACAATGTATGACAACAAGAGGTATAGCTACAAACATATAAGTGCTTTAAAAGCATCTTTTCTTCTTTTCTCTTTAGACCAAAATGGCAGACTGCGTTCCGGTGAAATTTGCCCTGAGAGGTAAAACAAGCGGAGACGTGGTTGTTCTGGGATCCTGGGATGGCTGGAGACAGCCTATCAAACTGGAGAAGAGGTAACAACATTTTGTCTGTTTACTAAAACAAGATCTGACCACGCGTCATACGATTATTATTATTAGTTAAAGGGACATCATCTAAAGTTATGAGGCGATTTTGTCATTCATGCGGCTGGAAAGAGTAGAAATCGGCCAAATAGAGAGATAAGCATGCCAAGTCTAATTGCAGTGCGGCGAACTGTTCTCTCAACGGACAGACTCCCTTGCCATGCTTATCTCCCTATTTGGCCGATTTCTACTCTTTCCAGCCGCATCCCCAAGCCTGGTAGAGGCTAATTTATTATCCCGATGAAGGCGAAAGTGGTCGTTGAAACTTTGATCCTTACGTACCCTTGTGTTAAAATGAAGTTTTTAAAACGCATCGTACTGTTGTGATATCTTACAGCACAGAAACGCTTGAGGACAGTACGTGGATCAACTTGCCCAGCGGCTACTATGAGTACAAATTCAAGATCAACGATTCCTGGATCCACGACAAGACTAAGGTAAACACATACATGTCATATAGATAATCGAATGTGCTTATACACCGTTTGCCCTGTTTCTTCTTCCCCATCTTCTTCTACAAACAAATAAGGCCAATGATCTTGACCAGACGTCTGTCACCATGGTAACTGGTGCTGTAGCAGACATCCTGTTGTGTTGGGTTACATTATGTAGCAAGACAGATTTGGAGGGGCCGGTCTTCACATATTATATATGACTGTGTTTGAGTATGAATAAAAAGAGCAGTAATTTGTTATGCTAGGCTATGTGAAGGTAAACATTTTGCATTTGCTTTCCAAATGTCGCCTTTTTTGGTGCATATTTATATTATCTTATGCCATTATCCATCGCATCTTTGATGTTTCCTCTTTATTTCAGCCAACGGTGCTGAACAAGTTCAAGACGTTAAACAACTTTGTCAACGTTGTGAAGAGACCTGACATCGTCATCAGTGATACAGGTGACCAGGCTAAAAAGACTGTTATTGACAAGCCTGCCAACATTACAGACAGTCAAGAAAAACAAGAATCTTCACAGGATGCAAATGAGCCTTTGATTCCAAACGTAGACATAGCTGGCTCAACTGATCAACAAGAAGGCAACGCAGATCATGTTCACAAAGTAGACACCGATGAAGGCATAGATGGTAAAGTTGAACCACAGATAGAAGATGTGGTCGACGTGCCACAAGAAAGCCTTGTACATGTAGAACCTGTCTCTTATGTAGACATAAAACCTTCTGAGTCATGTCAGCAAAATATCGAAGAAAAAGAAGTAAATCTTCAGGAAGAACCACCTGAGAATCTGGACAAATCTAAACAGAAGGACGAAGAAGGGAAAAATGTCGTCCAAGATACGACCGAGCCTGAAGGTGACAGTCAGCATCGAACGTCAATTTCAACAAGAAGTAGCTGATTATCTTAAAAAAGACGAAAACCTAGCATTAGAGAAATCTATTCCTGAAGGAACAACCCTTCAGGAAGGCGATGTCAGCAAGGTTGTTCAAGACAACACCGAGAATGTAGAAGTCTTGAAGGAAACAACACCAGACGAAGATACAGTTGGAATACCTGTACCGATAGACAGTCTAAACGAAGCTTCAGTCAAAGTACTACCCGTGGAAGAAGCTTTTGGTTCGACTGGAGTAGACATTGTTGAAAGGGATACATCTACTGAGGAAGAAAAGGGCAGTACAGTCATTCATGATAACCAAAATAGAGCAGAAATCGCATCAGACGAGACACATATTCAGGAAGACACTATTGTGGATGAGGTCAAACAAGAAAAGGAAGAAGAAAACGCTGCCATCCAAGAAGCAACGACAACTGGAGGTGACAACGTTATAACCGAACGACAACTCCAGCAAGACGTAGCCAAATATCTCGCAAAAGACGATACAACTCACACAGAAACAGTCACTGATAACCATGAAGGCGATATCAACAGGGATGCTCCAGACAGTATTGTTAAGGTAGCAGACGATACTGGTGATAAGAAGATAGTGCCTCAAAAAGATCATCGCGACGATGTTCTAAAACCAGACATCGACGAAACATCACCCCAAAAACACGCCACAGAATGTCTTGGAAAAGACGCAAACGAACCTGTTGTTGAAGACAAACACTCCCAAGATGAGAAAACCGTCAGTGATGTTCAGAAGGAAGCAGAGATTCTTGTTTCCCATAAAACAGAGAAAGACGGCAAGATCATACAAGAAATTCCCGAGATAAAGGCAGATAAGGTCTCAGATGAAGTACCACCTCAGCAAAAAGAAGATGGTGTTGAAGAAGACCCAAAGAAGGAAGCACCAGAAAAAGACGAAACAACCCCTCAGCCAGGGGAGCAGAACGCTGCAATAGCGTTTGACGAAACTGCACCACCAAAAGAGGCAGCTAACAACGTGGTAACCATGGTGGATAGTGTAGTCGAGGAAATTACTAAAACAGCCATTCAAGAAGCTGGCAAAGATGTCGGAAAAACAAGTCCTCAACAAAGGACAGCGGAAAGCGCTGCTGTGGATGACATGGAGAAGACAACCAAAAACAAACTCACTGAAGCATCAGCTAAGCCAGACGTAGGTAAGAAGGCTCTTCTGGAGGAATTTAACAAAACGGACGTGGACAAAGTCATAGCAGGAGACACAGCTAAACAGCCTTCACAAGAGCCAGTGGATAGTATCGCTCAAGACAATCTAATGGTCGAAATCCAAACCACATCTCAAGAAGCGAAGGCCGACGTATCACCAAATGAAGCAGAATCCGAGAAAGAAAAGGCTGGTGAGGATGTCGTAGATAAGTCAAAGAAGTCAGTCACAGAGGTTGCTCTTTTTGAAGTAGAGACCATACCTGAGAAAAGAAAAGAAGAGGAGGCAATAATTGATGCTGGGAGGGCAACCACAATCAAGTTGGACGCAACGACCAGTGTCCCTGGTACGACAGAACCAGAAGAAACAAGTAATGCACCAGACAAAACTACAACTGAAACAGAACGACGGAAAGAGGATATTGTTGTCCCAGACAACATACATAACGAAGAAGCTCTTCCAGAAGATGCAGTAAGCAACATTGGAAAAGGAACGGAGACGCCTCCAGACGAAGCGACATATGACAAGAAAACGACGAAGGACGACGCAAACAACGAGATACCTCCAGGGGATAGTAAACATGAGCCACTGCTGCCAAAAGTGACAAAAAAGGAACAAGATCTGAAAGATACCAAAGAAAGAGAATCTAAGAAAGAAGACACTGAGGTATTGGTGACTGGGCATGCTGATGGCAAGGTGAAACTGTCAACAGAAAAACAGAAGAAACCAGCGACTCAAGCTACACTAGCATTAACAGTAGACACGAAAAATGAGAAGGAACAGAAGCCTACACCTAAGGCGGAGGAGAGCCCTACACCTAACGTAGAGGAGGAGAAGGAGGAGAAACCTACACCTGAGGTAGAGGAGAAGCCTACACTAAAGGAGGAGGAGAAGCCTTCACCTATAATAGAAGAGAAGCCTACACCTAAGGAGGAGGAGAGGCCTACGCCTAAAGTCGCGGAGAAGCCTACACCTAAAGTGGAGGAGAAACCTACACCTAAGGAGGTGGAGAAGCCTGCATCTAAGGAGGAGGAAGAAAAGAGTGCACGTAAGGAGGAGGAGAAGCCTACACCTATGGAGGAGGAGACTCTTACACCTAAGAAGGAGACGCCTACACCTAAGGTGGAAGAGAAGCCTACGCCTGAGGTGGAAGAGAAGCCTACACCTAAGGAGGAGGAGAAGTCTACACCTAAAGTGGAGGAGAAGCCTACATCAAAGGAGGAGGAGAAGCCTACACCTAAAGTGGAGGAGAAGCCTACACCTGATGAGAAGAAGCCTACGCCTAAAGTGGAGGAGAAGCCTGCATCTACACAGCAGGAGAAGCCTACACCTAAAGCGGAGGAGAAGCCTACACCTAAGGAGGTGGAGAAGCCTGCATCTAAGGAGGAGGAAGAAAAGAGTGCACCTAAGGAGGAGGAGAAGCCTACGCCTAAGGTGGAGGAGAAGCCTACACCTAAAGTGGAGGAGAAGTCTGCACCTAAGGAGGAGGAGAAGCCTGCACCTAAGGTGGAGGAGAAGCCTACACCAAAGGCGGAGAAGCTTACACCTAAAGTGGAGGAGAAGCCTACACCTAAGGAGGAGGAGATGCCTACACCTACGGAGGAGGAGAAGCCTACACCAAAGGCGGAGGAGAAGCCTGCACCTAAGGTGGAGGAGAAGCCTACACCTAAGGAGGAGAAACCTACACCTAAGGAGGAGAAGCCTACACCTAAGGAAGAGAAAAAGCCTACACCTAGGGAGGAGAAGCCTGCACCTAAGGAAGAGGAGATGCCTACACCTAAGGAGGAGAAGCCTACACCTAAGGAAGAGGAGAAGCCTACACCTAAGGAGGAGACGCATACACCCAAGGAGAAGCCTACACCTAAGGAGGAGAAGCCTACACCTAAGGAAGATGAAAAGCCTACACCTAAGGAGGAGAAGCCTACACCTAAGGAGGAGGAGAGGCCTACACCTAAGGAGGAGAAGCCTGCGCCTAAGGAGAAGATTGCCACTGAAATAGTGCAGAAGCCTACACCTAGGGTGGAAGAGGAGAAGCCTACACCTAACGAGGAGAAACCTGCACCTAAAGTAGTGAAGGCTACACCTATCACTAAAACAGTGCAGAAAGCTACACCTAAGGTGAAGGAGAAACCTACACCTAAGGTGAAGGAGAAACCTACACCTAAGGTGGAGGAGACGCCTACAACTGAAAAAGTGGAAAAGCCTAATTCTGAAAAACTGTCGACAGAGAAACCAAAGACTCCAGCTACACCAGAATCTACAGATGATACGAAGACGAGAGAAGGCCCAATGTCGCGACTTGCCTTCTGGAAGAAAAGGAAAGAGGAGAAGCCTACACCCAAGAAGGAGGAGGAGCCCACAACTGAGAAGAAGTCTGAACCTAAGATAGAACAGTCTACAACTGAAGAGCCTACGACTGAGAAGAGTGAAGCGAAAAGAAGGTATCATGAGCTGGACTCAAATACTCCTTTTTGTTTCCTGTTGTTATCCGTTATTTTTGTCACTCTATGGTGGTTTTTACTGATCTATTCGCTAGTTTACTAGTCAATGATGATTGATCTATTAGCTATTAAAGTTACTTAGAAGTACAGGTTATGCAGAGGCTAAGAAAGACAATCAGCATGGCAAAATTTGACTTGAATGATTGCTTATAGGAAAGCCGAAGAAACTCTTAGAAACTAATTAGCAATTCTAAACATAATTATAGTTTAAAATCAGTCTTAAGGCATGTCTTTAGGCATTGATTTTCAATAGAGTTATTTACCATGATGATGCTCCATGTACATACGATAATAGTGGGATAAATTAGTTAATTAACACGTAAATTAAAATCATTTCAAACATTTGTCATTTCCTTTCAAAACGTGCAACAAAATCCAGCTCCCTAAGATGGAAAGAGCCTTCTACTGAAAGGACTTTAGAAATCTGTATTCAAGTTTGATCTTGCTTCGTTGAAAATAAAAGATAAGCATTCTTGACATGTCTTGTTTTCTCACAAGTTAGATAATTAGTCATTAATAGGGGTTATTAATTAGATACAAGTAAATATAATCATATTAGGTACAAAATAATGACTTTTGCCAAATTAATTTCAAATAAGAACACCTGAAGTTTCACACTTTTAGTTGAAATTTGATCAGGGACATGAAAACGCCAAGTTGTTTTCTATTTAAACACGTTTTGCTGTTTTAGAGTTTTGCTTTTTGACGACATAAATCGTGATATGTAACACCTCAAGATCCAACCTTCAAGAACATTTTTTCTGTTCTCAAGAAAGCTTTAAACCGAACCTTTGAGGTTAGTAATGTTCATTTTTACGTTCCCCATGTAGTCTGTAGAAAACAGGTAGCTTTGAAATGATGGTCCTAAAACATCTCAACAGTATAACACATCACTATTTGAAGAATAGATACTCAAGTATTTGCGTATTGAGGACAAAAGCTTTGTTCCAAAGTTCGCTGAGATGTTTTAGCTCATTCAGAGCATTTACTAGTTACTACTAATAATTTTACCCAATGCTTACTTATATGCTATTCATACCTATCTGGATGAATGAGTTCTGATCGTTGTAACCGCCGCCATGATGATGATGATGATGAACAGGTTTTCGTGTTTTTTTCTCCAGCGATGACGACACAAAGCCGCAAGGTTTTCTGGAATTACTGCGATGCTGCCGGTGTTTCTAACTTTACGAAGAGGAGAATCAGGTAAAGTTGAATTTCTAAATTTTGTCTTCAATTGACCTTACAGGTGAATTTATTTTGAGTTCTGAACCTTCTTTTAATCTATGGATTCCTTTTCTTTTTCAGGGGCACTTCAGGAAACTGTTGAAAACCTCTGAAGATCATGTGGAAGATGATTACAAACTTAACTTAATTTTCTTGCCTCAATTGTTGGGCTGAAGCAATGTACATTCATAGAGAAGAGATAGAGAGGAATGGACCGGGAAAAGGTCTGAAAACAAGACATAATTATGGGACAAAAAAATACTCAAAACTCCAAAACGAACCAAACAAACAAACAAACAACCAAACAAACAAGCACACTGTGGCAGTACGGATGTTATAGATTAATTACTTTAAAGTTGTAATCATAGTTTGACTTTATTGTTATTGTTGTACTCAACATAGATAATCCTTTGTGTTTATGCAACTTGCTAAAAGCTGTAGAAATTTGACTTATACGTTGGTTTCTTGGTTATGGTATGATTTTACTTAGTATGCCATTAAAATGAAAGAGAGCCACAAATAAAAGTGAATTGTATTTCTTGTACGTTATGCTGGGAAACAGGTTTCCGAGGCTTACTGGTCTTACAGTTAAGAGGATCACTATGATAAACTAAACTAAGAAAAACAAACAGACAAACCACACATCTTGTAACGTTGATGAAGGTTAGACATCCAGGTAAACGATACTCGTAAGAAAATTTAAACTCTACTACTGGATCAGTTAACGGATTTATTTCCGGACGTTTCGAGTGACATCCATCACTCTTCTTCAGCGTCACAAATGAACAGAGAACCGATTCACTCTTATATACAAGTAACTAGAAAAACCGGTTAAACAACAAGGTCCGTAAGAACGAAGCTTTATCGTGTAAAAGAACTGTAGGCCATCTATGAGCGCATCTACAACCCCACCCTGAACAGGAAGGGGGGACTGCGCATAGAACTCTCAAGCACATGGGATCCCGCCCTGCCACAGCCCAAGGGACAGTAACTTTTCCTATGGTAATTTCTTACCATAGGAACCTTCCTTACATGACAAAGACTCTTACGGTTGTTGAACAGGTTTTTCTAGTTCTAATTCCCGTACATCGAGTGAACCGTTCTTTTACATGATAAAGCTTCTTACGGACCTTGTTGTTTAACCGGTTTTTCTAGTTACTTGTATATAAGAGTGAATCGGTTCTCTGTTCATTTGTGACGCTGAAGAAGAGTGATGGATGTCACTCGAAACGTCCGGAAATAAATCCGTTAACTGATCCAGTAGTAGAGTTTGAATTTTCTTACGAGCACACATCTTGTAGACTGGTTTATTAAAAAAGAAATTGTTAACGGGCCGAATTGTAAATTCCATCAAAGCAACATAAAAATACATTGCAGCTCGGTCGCCGTCTAAGTACTTAAAATACATAAGACATAAGACCTCCTTGTCGGAGAAACAGCCTCTTAAGTGGCTGTTAACTCTGTGGGTAGGGAGGGACAACAAGTCACAGTAAAACCAACCGGTAGGTTCTATAAGCTGCCTGTTCGAAAAACTGTGATACAAAATATAGTACTGAGTCATAAGGACCATATGGCCACTGATATACGGTCCTATTCCCCACCTCTTCATAAGGGCCACATGGTCATTGTATAAGTAGATTGTATTAGCCTTTACCATATATTTTGTTCCTTCCTAACGTTAAAGGTTAGAAATTGCAACACTTTATGACATCTTTGATTCACACGAGAATATTCCGGCTCTTCGTTCTTCACCAGTAAAATTAGATCACCTTTAGAAAAAAAGCATTAAACTAAAATATGTCAAAGAATTGACATTAAATGATGGGTTATGTCCATACATTAGTGTACAAATTATCCTGTTTTTGTATTTTTTAGTTTTCTTTCTTTTCGTGGTAAACATTTGTTACTTCTTCAGAAACATCTTTCCTGCTGCAAAGATGTCACTAGCATCAATGCCGTCACTTAGGTCGATGCCCTTGCTCTTGTGCTTGCCGCTCTTGTGACCTTTGCTGCCGCTCGCCATATTGGCCAGCGCCTTCATGTCTTCCATCCCGAACCCGTCACTCAGATCGAACCTGAGAAAAACAAAATGGCGGCAACGTCAAGGTCAAAGTTTAAACGTTGATTTTATGAAGATAAACTGTAAAATCTTTCTGAAACAAAACGGAAATCTGCTTACACATGCTTTTAATAGTTTTTTGACAATTTTTTTCATTCAGTTTTCCACCAGAAAACCAAACTTGGCATAAAAAAAAATTTCCTAAAATAACCACCTGTGTGACCTTTGACCTTACAAAGCTGAGATTCAGAGGAGAAGAAAGATGGCGGACGTCATTTGAAACTTCTCTCTACAAGCTGAACGTCTTGTCGTACGTATCAATTTAGTACTCATTACTGTTTTCAAGTTTTATTCTTACTTGGGTTTTGGTTTGTGGTGTTTTCCATGCCCCCCTCCCTTTCCTCCGAGTAGCATGCCTCCCAGTCCGGCCAGCGCGCCCATCTTCAGTCCGCCCATGCCGCCCTTCTTCTTCTTGTGCTTCTTGCGCCCGTGGCCGCCTCCCATCGCCCCCTTCCCCAGGAACTTCAGCATGCCCTTGTCGACTCCCCCGCCGCCGGTCTTGGACATCATGCTCAGGGCCTGGAAAGTTCGCAAAATAGTATAATGATAACTAGAAAGGTCTGCTCTGTTAATTCTAA